GAAATCCACTAGATACATTAAGCCTTCGGCTAAAGACATTGAATATGCAGGAGTCTGTCCGACTGAGGTACAAACAAACTAAGAACAACAAACTAACAAGAGAACTAACGAACGAAACGAACGAAACGAACGAACGAACGAAGAACGAACGAACGAACGAACGAACGAACAACAACGAACGAACGAACAACGAACGAACGAACGAACGAACGAAACGAACAACGAACGAACGAACGAACGAACGAAGAACGAAGAACGAACGAACGAACGAAAGAACGAACGAACGAAACGAACGAACGAACGAACGAACGAAACGAAACGAACGAACGAACGAACGAAAACGAACGAACGAAACGAACGAACGAAGGAACGAACGAACGAACGAACGAACGAACGAACGAACGAACGAACGAACGAACGAAACGAACGAACGAACGAACGAACGAACGAACGAACGAACGAACGAACGAACGAACGAACGAACGAACGACGAAAACGAACGAACGAAAGAACGAACGAACGAAGAAACGAACGAACTAACGAACGAACGAACGAAGAACGAACGAACGAAGAAAACGAACGAACGAACTAACGAACGAAACGAACGAACGAAGAACGAAGAACGAACGAACGAACGAACGAAAGACGAAACGAACGAACGAACGAACGAACGAACGAAACGAACGAACGAACGAACGAAAGAACGAACGAACGAACGAACGAACGAACGAACGAACGAACGAACGAACGAAACGAACGAAACGAACGAACGAACGAACAAGAAAACGAACGAACGAACGAACGAACGAACGAACGAAGAACGAACGAACGAAACGAACGAAACGAACGAACGAACGAAACGAACGAACAACGAACGAACGAACGAACGAACGAAAACGAACGAACGAACGAACGAACGAACGAACGAACGAACGAACGAAAGAACGAACGAACAAACGAACGGACGAACGAACGGACGAACGAACGAACGAACGAAAACGAACGAACGAACGAACGAACGAACGAACGAACGAACGAACGACAACGAACGAACTAACGAAGAACGAACGAACGAACGAAGAACGAACAAAACGAACTAACGAACGAAGAAGAACGAACGAACGAACGAACGAACGAACGAACTAACTAAACGAACTAACGAACGAACGAACGAACAACTAACGAACGAACGAACGAACAACGAACTAATAACGAACGAACTAACGAACTAACTAACTAACTAACTAACTAACGAACTAACAAACTAACTAACTACTAACTACTAACTAACTAAAACTAACTAACTAACTAACTAACTACTAACTAACTAACTAACTAACTAACTAACTAACAAACTAACTCACTAAACTAACTAACTAACTACTAACTAACTAACTAACTAACTAACTAACTAACTAAACTAACTACTAACTAACTAACGTCAAACATCTTTTGGAATCCAATCTGTAATTATACGTCAGACATGCCACACAATTTTTTGCACGCTTTGATAAGAAAGCTACAACAACATTGCTTATTATAAAAACCGTTTGGATGTGTGTTGCTCTCATTGCTTTCGTATTTTGGTTTTTGTTTGTTTCTTTGACGTTGTTTGTTTGTATGTTTACTATTCCGAGAAACCAAGAGAAAATTAAAAATAACATTTTAGTTCGTTTAAAAAACTGATTTGTGAATCCCCGAACAACATACATACATATCATATATATTACATATTATAAATAATTATTACTCACTTTAGTGTATTTCGAAACTGTCCAAAACGATAAACTTTCGGCGTATTTATATGGTGTACTATTTGTTTGGTGACTTCCTGATTTCATGTCTTCTTTATTTTATATCTATTGTAACCATCTTTCAAATTTTTCCATCTTTTTTTTAAAAAATCAACTTTGAATATAGAAAACATGTGACAATAAACAAATATGTACATTTAAAAACTAATAAAATGGTTTAAACTTAAATAGTACTTACCTGGTGCTTTAACATTGTTTGCAATTTCCTTCCACGCTTTTTCTTTTAACTCAATTTTTCTGTAATCTTTAGATTGCGTATTATATAAAATGTCATATTTTTTCACTTCTTTAATAATTAGTTCATCTAAATTCATTTTTCAATAAATATATAAATTTATTTGATCAAAACTTATAGCGATGAGAATATGCGCAAGTAAAATGTTTTATTAAACTAAATGAGAATATATACGCGTCTTGTTTTATAACACAACTATAGTGTTAATGAAATATTTATCAAAACAAAACAAAAAGAGCGGGAATATGATTTGGAAAAAAGCTTCAAAACAAATACATATGTACAGTAGTTTTTCGATTTAGCGAACCTATATGTTGTCAGGCCTTTTCGTTAAATCGAAAAGTTCGTTATATGCAGTACTAACTCGAAGTGTCTTTTGGGTACATAAATAATTAAAATTACATAAAATCTAATTTATAAAAATATGTTCCAGGAAATATAATTTCTTTAGACAATATTTTATAAGAATTTTATGAAAAACTAGCAATTTATATCACAATGTAAAAACAATAAAGAAATTTGAAAAAACTCAGTTTATTTCGTATAAACTAATCTACGTTCTGGAAAAGCACTCGGACGACATAATTCTTAAAGAAGTTTAAACCCAATGGCTGAAAATTGCGATGAATCTGAAGCTGGCCTCAGAATTCCTTAGGAAATAGATTAATGTAAAGCTATTAAAGCGTTTTCATTGTTTCACAGTTTCATTGTTTTCATTCTTTGAGATATCTGAACATAAAGTTTTTTAAAATATTTTTTCCTTTATTTCACAGCTATTCCTGTAAATATCCTTTTTTCCAAAAGAAAAAACTATTATATTGTTTATTCTATAACATCGTTTCTTACAATTTCTTAGAATTGATTTTTATGGACAAAAATTATGGTCACAGTGGGACTGTTAGTTTGGCGAAAAATAAAAGCAAAATGTTAAGGTATACGATTGGCAAAGTCTTTATTTTGAACACCAATTTCTATGATTTCAAATTCTAAGGCCAAATTCGGGTTGATCACGAGCTTCTAGAAAAGTATACTTTGGCCTCTCTAAACATTTTTTGTTCCGATTTTCTAATTCGATCAACATTAGTTTTTGGGACATTAAGGATTGTAGATTTGATTATCTCATATTTTTGTATAAATCTTTAATAAAAAAATCTCAGATTATCTAGATTCTTCATTTTACTAAAATAAATACCCCTCCTAATAACGTCGAAGCTTTTCTGACATGATTCTTAGTTATTTTGTTAATTTAACTCTAATTTAAATTATTTTATTTATATTTGTTCGTTAAACTGAGTACAAAAAATATTTTTTGTTCGTTATGTAAGGTACTCAATGTAAAAATATTGATAGTTCGCTAAATGCGATGTTCGTAGAAACGAATGTTCGTTAAATCGGAAAACTACTGTACTTATGTGAGTTTCACATATGAGATTTTACGTACGACTTTACGTATGTATAAGGGTGTAGCGATAATTGTTTACAATTTTTATACCCTACACCACTTTAGTGGGGAGGGTATATTGGGTTTGTGCTGATGTTTGTAACGCACAATAATATTGGTCCTATACCCACCTTAAAGTATACCAATCGGCTCAGAATTATTTTCTGAGACGATTTAGCTATGTCCGTCCGTCTGTCCGTCCGTCCATGTAAACCTTGTAATCAAACTACAGGTCGCAATTTTGAAGATAATTCAATGAAATTTGGTACATGATCTTCTATTGTCCCAGGGACGAAGCCTATTGAAAATGGTTAAGATCGGTCCATTATTTCACCTAGCCCCCATACAACTGAACCCCTCGAATTGGGCTTTTAAAATTTGTAATCAAACTACAGGTCGCAATTTTGGAGATAATTCAATGAAAATTGGCACATGATCTTTTATACTACCGTAGATGAAGCCTGTTGAAAATGGTTTACATCGGTCCATTATTTCACCTAGCCCCCATACAACTGAACACCTCGAATTGGGCTTTTAAAACTTGTAATCAAACTACAGGTCGCAATTTTGGAGATAATTCAATGAAATTTGGCACATGATCTTTTATACTACCGTAGATGAAGCTTATTGAAAATGGTTTACATCGGTCCATTATTTCACCTAGCCCCCATACAACTGAACACCTCGAATAGGGCTTTTAAAACTTGTAATCAAACTACAGGTCGCAATTTTGGAGATAATTCAATGAAATTTGGCACATGATCTTTTATGGTACCGTAGACGAAGCCTATTGAAAATGGTTACCATCGGTCCATTATTTCACCTAGCCCCCATACAACTGAACCCCCGAATAGGGCTTTTAAAACTTGTAATCAAACTACAGGTCGCAATTTTGAAGATAATTCAATGAAATTTGGCACATGATCTTTTATACTACCGTAGATGAAGCTTATTGAAAATGGTTTACATCGGTCCCCCATACAACTGAACCCGCCGAATAGGGCTTTTAGTTCATAATTATGTTTAATATACTCATATCTCGACAAAAAGCTGCAATAACCAAGTTGTATACAAGACTTGATGACCCCCACGAATTCCATAATAATAGGTTCTCATATGACCCTAGCCCCTATGAAAAGCCCCCATCAAAATTTCGCTTAAATGTCCACAATTTTATTCAACAATAAACGGCTTAAGTATGTATATCTAAGGCAAGGTACAATTCAACTTAAATGCTTTATTATGGCAACTAAATCACATTATATTTTTGTCAAAGGTGTAGGGTTTTATATGGTCGGCCTCGCCCGACTATAATTTTGTACTTGTTTATACATAGACTTGTTACAGGCTAAAACCGCACGTTTGTTAAACTCCTTATAAAAAAAATTTGACAATCATGCGGTTGCTCTCAAATTTCACACGTTTGTATGCTTATACATGTATAAAAAACTATAAGAACTAGTAAGAGAACTTATTTTTACTCTCTGCCGGTGCAGGTTATAAAGTTTATTATTTAATAAACACAGATGGCGACATGGCTCTCTTAAAAAAAGTTCTCTTAAGCTCAGTGACGTCATCAGTGCCTAGAACTGATTGTATGATATGAAAATTTTATGTGATTTATAATAGAAAAGTAAATAATTATATTTAAAACTTATTTATGTCTAATAAAATAAAATGTATTTTACGTTTTATGTTATTAGGAATATGCTATGGGGGCTCCAAGTACACCTCACCCAGATGGAAGTCCGCCCTTTTTTCTCCAAAATGATCAGATGAATAATAAAATTCTTCGTACAAAATTTGAAGAATCTATTTGTATTAGTTTCCCAGATAAACGAAATTTTATATTTAATTCATATGGGAGGTGCAAAGCTCCCCTTGTAAGTCCGCCGTTATTCTCTAAATGTTTAGATGAATGTTAAAGTTCTTCAAGTAAAATTTGAAGATTATAGCTCTAATAGTGTCTGAGATATACTAATTTTTCTACTTAATTCATATGGGGGCTCCAAATCAAAATTTTGGCATTATTTTTTTGATATTTTTACATTTTTACTTATAATAGACTATAGACTAGACTATAGACTAGACTATTGACTAGACTATAGACTAGACTATTCTATTGACTAGACTATAGACAACACTATTGACTAGACTACAGACTAGACTGTATACTATACTGTAGACTAGAGTGTAGACTTGACTATAGAGTCTATAGTCAACTAGACTAGACTTTAGACTAAACTGTATACTAGATAGTATAGAGTAGACTAGATCATAGAGTAGAATGTGAACTAGACCATAGAGTAAAATATAAACTAGACTCTAGACTAGGCTGTCAACTAGACTATAGAGTAGAATATAGACTAGACTCTAGACTAGACTATAAACAGACTATAGACTAGGACTATAGACAGACTATAGACTAAATCATACACTATACAACAGACTAGTCTGGACCATAGAATAGACTGTAGACTATACTATAGAGTAGAATATAGACTAGATTCTAGACTAAACTACAGACAAGGCTGAAGACTAGACTATATACTAGACTATGGACTAGATGATTTACTAGACTATTGACTAGACTATTTACTAGACTATTGACTAGACTATAGACTAGACTGTGGGACTAGACTATTTATAGAATATTTACTAGGACTATAGACTAGATTATAGAGTAGTCTATAGACTAGGTTATAGACTAGACTAGACTATTGGCTAGACTATAGACTAGACTATAGATAGACTAAGACTAGGACTATAGACTAGACTATAGACTGGACTACTAAGACTAGGACTATAGACTAGACTATAGGACTAGACTATAGACTAGACTATAGACTAGACTATACTAGCTATTGACTAGACTATAGACTAGGACTATAGACAGACATTATGACTAGACTATGACTAGACTATAGACTAGACTATAGACTAGACTATAGACTAGAACTTAGACATAGACTATAGACTAGACTATAGACTAGACTATAGGACTAGACTAGATAGACTTAGACTATAGACTAGACTATAGACTAGACTAGACTACTTAGCTAGACTATAGACTAGACTCTAGACTAGGACTATAGACTAGACTATAGACTAGACTATAGACTAGACTATAGACTAGACTATAGACTAGACTATAGACTAGACTATAGACTAGACTATAGACTAGGACTATAGACTAGACTATAGACTAGACTATAGACTACAGACTATACTAGACTATAGACTAGACTATAGACTAGACTATAGACTAGACTATTAGACTAGACTAGGACTAGACTATAGCCTAGACTAGACTAGACTATAGACTAGACTATAGAACTAGACTATGACTAGACTATAGACAGACTATAGACTACTAGACTAGACTACCTAATTAAAGTCTGTTACACTATCAACTACGCTAAATATGCTTCGCTAACATATGTATGTAAAGAATTCAGAACTGAAATGAAAATTTAAATTTTGAAATGATACTAAATATTTCCAAAAATAATAGGTACTTACATATTTAAAACAGCTGCATGTTATCATGTGGTAGGCCATGGTCGATTTTATTGATATAAAACAAGTAAGAGTACTATATTCGGCTATGCCGAATCTTATATATCCATCATAGTGTATTTAATAAATATCAA